GGGTATATACGAAAAAGATAATAAATAAAAGCTGGCCATGGAATACAAAAGAAAAACCTAATCAAAACATAAATAATCCCCACATTGTAAGTAGTTGTCAATAGTTTCATTTGAATCAATTTTTGTGTTTAAAAAATGCGTTTACTAACGATGAAGCTGTAGATATGCTGAAGGAAATCCTCATGTTAGCACAAGAACATTATCGCTTGAGTTGGGCATATCACGGACAACGGTTCAAAATATTTTGAAGGACCATAGGTAAGTTCTGATGATGACCTTCAAGATATAGGGATTTATTTGGAATTAACTTTTTTTTTATACTTTTAGTATGCACCCATATCATGTCGTTCTGCATCAGGCCTTGAAAGAAGAAGACTTTGATCGGAGGTTGGCCTATTGCCATTGGATTTTAGGCATGATACGCGAAAATAGAGAATTTTAATGTCAAATTCTTCGGACAAAAGAAAAACCTAATCAAAACATAAATAATCCCCACATTGTAAGTAGTTGTCAATAGTTTCACGTTATTTGAATCAATTTTTGTGTTTAAAAAATGCGTTTACGAACGATGAAGCTGTTGATATGCTTGCAGTTTATTTTGAATATATGCCGCAGTAGCAAAAAGAGTTTACGCGGCTCGTTATCCAAATCGGCGTCCTTGTGGTGTGAGAGTTTTTCCCCGATTAGTGGCGAGCTGACGAGTGGGAGAGTCAATCTGCACAATATGCATTATTGTTCTGCAGAAGAACCGCATTGGTTGCGTGAAGTTCAGCACCAAGGACGTTGGAGTCTAGATGTGTCGTGTGGCATACTGGGAGGCAGAGATATTGGGCCATATTTTTTCGAGCAGCCCCTAAATGGCAATATTTTTCTTGATTTTTCAGCCAATCAATTACCGTTGTTGTTGGAACATGTGCCACTGGAAACACGGCAAAACTTGTGTTTGCAGTTGGATGGTTACCCAGCACATTTTGCTTTAATTGTGTGAGAACATCACCAGACCTAACTTGCCTTGATTTTTATTTATGGGGACGGTTAAAGCACATCGTGTTTCAGACTCAACCTACGACCAGAGTATATATGGAAAACCGGATTTGTAATGCTATACGTAGCAAACTGAGAGCCGAAATTGAAGTTGCAGTTTTGTCCACACACGAGAGACTTCAGCAATGCATAGAGCGTGATGGTCAGCATTTCGAGCATCTACGGGGGCATTAAAAACCTCTTTTTTCAAATCGGCCCTTTCCATTGCCACAACTTACATAATAAAGAAAATTTTATAAGTTTGAAAAAATAAAAATTCAAGGGATTTCCGTATAAAATTTTCTTTGGATTCAATTTTAGATTAGGAACAAGATATCGAAATGCGGTTTTCGCGAGCTTGTTCAGGCATCATTAAGCAACCTTTCCATGAAAAAAAAAGCATACCGATGCAATTGATTTTTTGAGAAAATCAACTATTTCTGTCGGAATGTCGAAAAAATCCCTCTAGTGTGCAAATAAAAAAATTCAAATATTATAACATTCGTAGTCCGAGAAAGCTCTCTTCAACTAGCCCAAGTTTGTCAACATTGGCTGAGCCGTTTCGAAGATACAGGGTGTTTTTTACAGGAACTTTCGAATACCCCCCACCACTTCATTCTTAGAGATACAGCAGAAATTGTCGAACAAAAAAGGTTCACTTTTTCATCGACAATAAAAATCAGGTATTTTTTTGTTAGGTTAATGTAGAGGAATTCACCTAAAAATCACTTTTTACATTCAAGATTGCAGCTACGCACCCTAGCGGTCTTTTGAGAAACTTGAAAATATTTTCCAGGTTCTTCTCTTGGGCGTTTTAGTAATACAATTTTTTGCCGCAAGTTCCTACGATGGATAGTTTCCCAGATACAGTACCTCGCATTCTTAGTTGGCCACCCACAGGCACAGCACAGGCACTTTTCAGCACTGCTCTTCAATCTTTTCACGGATGACAGATCTAAACAACGAATTTTCATCGCATAATCTCGGTCACTGCTAAAAGAACGAGCAGTGGTCCATGCACTTCTGATGTCTCAAGGCCAAAGAGGGAAATACAGAAAGTGGGCGTGTCGATGCGCTTCCCATGCTTCCTAACTCAGGAAACGGAACGGCCTCATGCGCATTGTGTACATAAGGCATTGAACACGCCTACTAGGTTTGTTCTGGTTGTGAGGAATATAAGTACAAGGACATCAGACACATGCGCAGTTGGAATAACTTGTTCTAGTTTTGCTCTGACAAACTTGAATCCATTTGTCCTCTGTTCAGGTTCCGTGTCTCAATAATCAGTGATTATCAGAGACTATTCGAACCCATTCATGCTTTCGAGCGTGGACCAACAGAAACTGTTGTCATTGCGCGTGCGCTCTTCACTCTCGACCATTTTCGAGGTTGTTTGGTGTTCGTTTCTGTTTGTTTGCTTTCACCTGAGAAAATTTTTATTTTACATGCATTTAATATTAATTCATTCATTGGTTGTCTTCTTTTAACTTTTTTGTGTCAGAACTCAGACTCGCACTATGGATGTGAGGCATGGTGAGTGATAATTCATCGACATCATCATGCTCATCGGAATCTTCGGTGATGAACCAATTCGACATCCCAAAAATTAACAGTATTACCCAGGTAGCCACACTTACGAAAATTACGTCTATGGGACCGCTGATTTTGGTCATTTATGGTCCCATTCGTCAAAATGCCATTCGGCAACTTCTGGACGTCTTGCGGGCATCAATATCTGGTCTTCACACACTTGTTGATCTTAGAGTGTGTTGTCTTTTGATAATTAAAATTAGCTCACGAAATCCCACCAATCACAGCATTTTCTTGTTCAGGCGGCACAAAAGTCGTCAGCAAGAAAGTGGCCAAATATGAATCAAACGTGACCAAACCCGAACCGAGCAGTTTGTACCTCTTCACAATGATGCCGTCTTCACAGTTCCCACTCAGTTATATTATTCAGGTGAGTAATAAATATTAAGATTCAAGAATGATAATTGCACAATAGATCCTGACAGAATGAAGCATCAGATGGCAGTAGCATATTCGAGCTGGAGGTTAAAGGCGAGTTCATGTAAATGCGAATCGCGAATTGCGAATTGCGAAATTCGCAAAAAAAAATATCTTTTTTAATTTCAATTCATGTACCTACGAAAGTTTTAACGGTTTTGACAGGATTCTGGAGACATTTATTATTTTATATTTCGCGGTTAGCATTTTTGACTGTCACACTGACAGTGCCTGTCACGTGCTGTCACCCCAAGAATAAACAAAGTAACCACACAATACATTTTGTTTATAAAAATTTCTAACAAAAACTATATTTGAAATGGATTTGTTTTATTGGCGAAGAAGGCGAGCAGTCGCGGCTTATTTATTATTGAAAAGGAGACGGAATAGAATACATAGGACAGTGGACGTTTGCGAAATATTTAAATACAGGAAACAACAAGGTGCTTATCACAATCTAGTAAAGGAAATGCGCCTTAAAGATGAAAAAAAGTTTAGGAATTATCAAAGGATGTCTATAGAAGATTTTGATTTGCTATTAGAAAAAGTTTCTCCCATTATTAGTAAGATGTACTATGTACTATGCAAGGGAACCAATTTCACCAGGAGAGATGTTATCAGCTACACTCAGGTATATGTATATTGTATAATAATGTGTTATTAAATTATTGTTCTTACCTATACAATAATAATTAAGAATAAAGTTGATATAATTTTAGATACTTAGCAGCAGGTATGAGCATGAAAAGTATTTCCTACAATTACAGATTGGGACTGAGTACTGTATCCAATATCATACGAGATACTACTTCTGCAATTTGGTAAGTTTTGAATATTGAATATTTACCAATTCCAACAGAAGAGAGATGGAAAGAAATTGCAAAAGGTTTTGAGACAAAATGGAACTTTCCAAATTGTGTGAGAGCCATTGATGGGAAACATATTTTAGGATTCAGGTTGTAAACATTTTTTTAATGTAAGTGTTCCTTCATTACAGTTTTTATTTGTAGGCTCCCCCAAAAACTGGATCAGATTTCTTTAATTACAAGGACTTCTTTAGCATTGTGCTATTAGCTGTTTGTGATGCAGATTATTGTTTTACTGCTGTTGATATTGGTGCAAAGGGAAAACAAAGTGATGGAGGAATATTCGGAAGTAGCAATTTTGGACAAAGGTTTTATTCAAATTCCTTAAACCTGCCTCCTCCAAGAAAACTTTGGGAGGAAAGTGAACCGTTGTCCTACTGTTTTGTTGCTGATGCAGCTTTTCCATTAAGCACCAATTTAATGAGACCATACCCTGGCAATTTTCTTTCCCTGCAGGAAAGAATTTTCAACTACAGGTAAATTATAGCCTACAGCTTACAGTATTACAAACTGCTTTAAATTTCAGACTATAAACTTATACATTATACAAATTATATGATTATAGATAGATAGATTGCTTTATTCAGAGAAGTGTACTCATATATTTTACAATACACAAATAATATTATTATGTTACAGATTGAGCCGTGCAAGGAGGATAATTGAGAATACATTTGGCATTCTTGTTGCCAAATGGAGGATACTAGAACGTCCAATTATTGCAAAATTGCAAACAACTGAGGAAATAGTTGGTGCATTGGTTTGTTTGCATAACTTTTTAAAAAAGCGTGATTTAGAAAAAGCAGCACACATAAAATACTGTCCCCCCAATTATGTTGATACAGAAAGTGGGACAGGAGAAATTATTGAAGGGGAATGGAGGACTTCAGTTCAGAATAGATTGGCAAGTGTACGAAGAATGGGAGGAAATGCATATGCCCGAAGAGCAAGTGCTATGCGCTCTCTGTTAATGGATTATTTTTTAAATATAGCTCCAATTGATGTACAATGGTTGAAATAAATTTTTTTATATTAAAATACAAATTTATTATTTTTGAAGCTAACAGAAATATTTACTGATACTAATGAAAAAACTGATTTAATTTAAGAATGTTCAGCATACAGCTGGTAAAATCTGTTTAAGAAATCTATTTCTGCCTCCATCCTAATCCTCTGTGGCATTTTTTTGAGCAATTCCTGTACTGCCATCAAAGCAGGACTAATTACAGGAGCAGCATGACTTGTAGGAGCTGGCTGCTGTAGAATTTCCATCAGTAGTTGATCACTTTGATCTAAAATATGGATATTAATACTTAACGAGATCAAAAATCATAGGGTTACCTCTTTTTTTTTGTCTCTTGTTTCTGGATGTTGTGATGTCAGGGCTGTTGATTAGTGTTTTCGACTCGATTTTTGAGGTCTTTGGTGTCAAAAGGTCTGGTGTTTTTGAGGTGCTTGGAGCCGAAAGGTCGACTTCTGTTTCCACCGTTTCAAAGTTGCCAAATGTTTTTCTGTTAGAATTTACATTTGCCAAGAAATACATACATTCAAAATGTTTCCATTTCTTCCTTTCATCTACACCTCCTCCAGATGGCTTATATGTTCTAAAAAAATATCTAACTGGATAATGAATATATATATTTTTTCTTTAAACTATAAGTTTTATGCATAAAAATTACTTCAAATGTTTAAGGAAAGTATCCTTAATATTTTTCCATTTTTTCTCAATAATGTCTAGGGGGATCATCCTATCAATTTCTTCATACACCTCCCTCCACATCTTTTCCCTAATATCCTTTCCTCTCTCCGTAGGCACTACTACGCGTACTACGCATGCGTTCACACAAAAAATCTGCGATATTCGCCAAAATATTAAAATAATTTCAAGATTCCCGCCCCCCAGATTTCAAATAATGCGAATTCGCAAGAAATTAAACTTGACATCTGTCGAAATTTCTAATTCGACATGATTTTGATATCGACCAATGGGAGCCCGCTTCGCAATTCGCAATTCGCGATTCGCATTTACGTGAACTAGCCTTAAGATGCATGTCAGCTGTGACGCCAAATGTCAATATCTGATCATTTCTAGGTAGGTACCTCCTAGTGACGATATTTTTTCACCTCGATGTTGTATTTTGTGATGAGCATCAACCACAAAAAAGTGGATTGTCGCTATAATGAATTCAATTTCCCTGAATACAGCAATAGTTAACATATCATGCAGATGACAGATGACCGCCAATTCCAATAACGTCGTCACACGGTAGCATGATAGGACATTATTGTTATTCAGTTTTCTCTAATGAAGTGAAAAACAAAAGTTATTCGGAAACAATCATCATTATTTTTTAGTTTCTTTTTGTGTGTTTGAAATCTGGTAACCCGGGTCCTCTGTCTTTATTTTAGTCATGATCATGATCATGATGGGGTAAAAAAACAGCCTTCTGGTTTGAGTATATACAATTACAAAAAATCTGGTTCTTCTAAGGCCCGTATTTATAGTCGCTCCTTAAAGTCCTTAAGGCGACCTCGTCCCTCAAGGATTCCTTGAGGACGAGTTTCTGTTTTATAGTCATCATATGAGTTGGAAGGAAGCCTCAAGTACCTTTCAATGTCGAGGTAGGTAGAAGGGTACCTTGAGCAATCCTTGAGCACTCCTCAAGTCAGTTTTCGGTGAGATTTCAGGTCTCTCACAGGTGTTTTGTTTGAATATTTTGAGTTTTGTCTTTGGTTGTTGACAAGTTCTAGGTTACATTTCATTATTTTGCAAGAAAATATGGATTTGGATGATTTTCTTGATTTCATTGAAAGAGTAGAAGAGAACGAAGTGATCAACAGAATCCCTAAACGTTACATCAGAGATGTTGAAGACCCATTCACATTCTATAGGGATGTAGAATTCAGAAGGAGATATCGTTTTCCCAAAGTGATAGTTAGGGATACTATCTTACCACTTGTGACCCATTCCCTGATGAAGAACAACAATAGAGGATTGCCAATAGCACCAGTCATTCAACTTCTGGCTAGCTTGAGATATTATGCTACAGGTCATTTTCAGGTATGGTTTATTACCCAGGTTTACCAAAGGTTTATTAATTTGAATTTATCCTTCAATGATTTCAAATTGTTCCTATGTATGCTACAGATTGATGGGGGTGATTTAAGAGGAATATCACAGGCATCAATGTCATTTATAATCAAAAGGGTGTCCATAGCTTTGGCAGAACATTTGAACAATTTCATACATTTTCCTGATGCTGATGGCCAACAAGAAAATATAAGGAAATTTCACACAATAGCCGGATTTCCAAATGTTGCAGCTTGTGTTGATGGAACCCATATCTCAATTTTGAATCCTGGTGGAGATATTGGAGAAATTTTCCGTAACAGGAAAGGACAATTTTCACTGAATGTCCAGGTCCCTATTATAAATGGTTCACCTTATATTTTGTGCTATTAGATAATACCTACTCCTCTTGCTCTCAGGTTGCATGTGGTCCAAATATGGAAATTTTAGATATTGTTGTCAGACATCCAGGATCAACCCATGATAACACAATATTTGCCCAAAGTGCTCTACGAATTTTGTTTGAAGAGAATCAGCTAGATGGTAATATCCATTGGGCATCTTCAATTATCTGATTTGATTTTTCCATTTTCTGAACTATTAATGGCAGCAATGAGGAAAGAGAAGTATCTAATATATATTATATTTATTTAAATCTCAGGTATTATACTGGGTGATAATGGATATGGGTGCAAGAGGTACTTGTTGACTCCTGTTTTGAATCCAAGCAATGTCACTGAAAGGAATTACAATAGAGCACATCGGAGTACAAGAAATATTGTAGAGAGAGTGTTTGGCATTTGGAAGCGAAGATTCCCATGCTTGAAAAGAACACTCAACACAAAATTAGAGACATCTGCCACTATAATTTGTGCAACAGCAGTATTGCATAATATTGGAAGGCAGATGAATGATATTTTTGAAGATGAAGAAGCAGAAGATGTGGTCAATATTGCAGAAAATATTATATTTGAAAATATTGATAATAATGTAGAAGGATTAGCATTCCGAAGGGCATTTATACAAATACATTTTTGATATTAATTGATTTTATGGGTATGTTGAGACAAACATGTGTACTAATATTGTTTTTCATTCAGGTATGTGAATAACCACCTAGGTGACCACCAGTGCACCATTCCATCAGGATTTCGTAATCTTGGAGTATCTATATGAATGTTTTCAAGAAGGTAACAGATTCTACTTACTGCTTGATGTTGCATTATTACCTCTTCCGATTAGGTATTGGTTTTGATTTTTTACCTCAAATTCAACTGTTGTTGTTATCCTTCAAGTCTTTTTATAGAGAAGTGAATGCAAAAGTATATAATAGACCTATATAATATTAGATTTTATGCCAAAAGTCAAAGGACATCCTATATTATTATTTTCATATTTATTGTCCCATGTGGCAATGAAAGATTTTATTACTAGTGACATATTCTTCTTGTTTAGAATCAAAATTGATGAAATACATATAGTTTTTCTATTAATGCTCGAAAATAAGGTTTCAAAACTCTTTTCCTGAATTTTTATTATTGAAGGTAAATCGACAAAAAATCTGAAACATGACAAATTCGCAAATTTACAGTACCTATATATTCCTGGGAGTAGGTATTTATAATTTGGTACCTCTACTTTGAAATAATGAACAGTTCCATTCAAAATATAGATATATGTGTTGATCTATACTATATATATATATATATATATATATATTATTTAATTAAATACATTCTCCTTTTCCAACAATTGAGTTTTTCTTAACCATGCAATACATTTTTTCTATTTCTACAACCTCAAGTTTCACTTTATACAGTTGTCTGCTGTTGAATTGCATTTTCCAATTTTAAAAGCTTCAATTGATACAGAGGGTGATCAGAATTCTGAATCTTTGAACCACCCTCTATCTCTTTATTTGTTCCAATTAAATGTCAGTAGATAGATAATCATAAAAGTTAAGAAAGGGACATATGTGAGCCGTTTTGTGGCCAATAATGAATAGTTCGGACACAAAAAATCCTAACAGTTGAAAAATCTCGATTTTGAACACCCTATATATCCCTGTAATCATTTCCGCTGGACCCCAATAAGTGTGATGCATTGATAAAATCAGCTCTTCTAGAAGAATCTAAGAATGCAATAAAATACAGGGGTATTCCATTTGAAAAATCTATTATTTTTGCTATTGCGCGTGAAAATGGAACACCCTGTGAATCTGAAACTATTTTCAAATGTGGACTTTTCAGAGCCGTATAACTTTTATTATAATTTATTTAAGGAATAAGTAACAATTAATGATTTAATTTTAAAAATTGAAAGATGAATCTTCTCTATCTAGCAACTGGGTTTTCTTAATCCAGAATAATTTTTCTGCTTCAGCTGCTTCTAATTTCATTTTATGCAGTTCAGTCTGCTGTTGAATGGCGTTTTCTAATTTTGTAAGTCTCAGCTGACTTTCTTTTTCAACTAATGAAATGTTATTATTTTTTGTTTTTCGCGAGTTTTTTTTTGATATATCTGAAAAACAGAAATTCCAGAGACAATATCTAATATATTGTTTTTATTACCTTTACCTGGAACTAATGTTACATTTTCATCATTCCTATTTGGTACGTCGTGCTGAATTTCATAATCCAGATCTACAAAAAAGAAATACCTATACCCATATATTTGAAAAAAAAAACGAATTTTATCAATGATAAATCTGGCAAGATTTTTACCTAATGGAAACTGTTCATGTCTTATTATATCATCTTCTTCCATTTCAATAACAGATCCTGAAACCATTGTTCCAAATAAGTAAGTATATATACCATATTACCATATGGATTATTATAAACTATACCTTCATCCACTGGTACTGGTGCAACTTCAGGAGAAGATGATGATTCCAAATGTTTTCCTATGAGAATAAATATATGTTATTGAAGATTTCATTATTATAGAGGGTGTTCCTCAAAGACTTCTGTATATCAAAAGTTAGGACGTTTCCCAGCCCACAGAAGCACGTCTAAAATGACGTCAATATCTGGTGATTTTTGGTCATAGACATCAGTCGATCAATAATTGACGACATTTTTGCAGTCATTTTTGTCACGCTATTGACTTGAATATATTATTAGCATGTCATTAAGGAACACCCTGTATAATATTATATGATATATTATACAGTGCTAGTCAAAAGTCCCCTCCCCCCCTCGTATCTTTTGAACGGGTATACTTATAATAATGAAATTTGGAGGGTGGAAATAAACTATTGCGTCACCTGTTATGACCAGTTGAGAAGCCTACATCCGTTTATTTCCACCATCCGAATTTCATTATTATAAGTATACCCGTTCAAAAGATACGAGGGGGGGAGGGGACTTTTGACTAGCACAGTATATTATAGCAAAATGATAAATCATTTTCATTTATTGATGTAAAAGAATAACATATTATCTCACTTTGTTCGACATATGCAGCATTGCTATCAAACTTGTTATCTATCATGAAATTAATGGTAGGAACAATTGACCGCACCATTACATTTAGCGGATCATCATCTACTTTTGAAGAAGGACCACCACCTGTTTTCAGCATTTTATTTTTGAATTCCGTATCTGACTTTCTAGTCCTAAAAATGTTCAATTATAGGTGATGAGTATTATTGGGTGAACTATATTCATATTTCCAATATATAATTGGAATGAATATCAGGTTATTAC